TGGATACCCTTCATCAAACTTCCTGTACTGATACACCTGCCTAAAATGGTCGTGCTGAGCGTAAACACCGTCATCTCCTTGAGACAACTCGATCTCTCCTTCTCTCTGCCTCTGTTCCGGCACCATTCTGAGGTGGGGCAGTTCTTACTGCTGCTTTTCTCCTCAACCGCATGCCGACTCCCCTTCTCTCTAGACGATCTCCTTATAAGGCTCTATATTCCCAACCTCCTAATTATTCCCTCCTGCGTGTTTTTGAGTCAGCTTGTTTTATCCTTCTTTCCCTTGAAGATAGGACCAAAATAAATGCCCAGTATGTCCTGTGTATCTTTTTAGGTTACAATCTTACTCAGAAAGGCTACCGTTGTTATGACCCCGTCTCTCATCGCCTTTATATCTCTCGCCATGTTGCCTTTCTCGAATGTCTGTCTTACTTTTAGCTTCCCCCTCTCATTACTCCAATTTCAAAAGAGGATTTGGTTCACATTAACCCATTTCCTTCTGAGGTCTCATCTGATGAGTACATCTCCACTGTTCCTCCTGAGTTTGTTCCATCTTCTCCACCTTTCACCCCTCTTGTTAAGTACCTCTCCACTGACCCCCTGAGGCTATTCTTACTTCTCCTCCTGCTTCACCTCTGGCTACTTCTCCTCCTTCGGCTTCTCCTCCTCCTCCGTTGTTAGTCTATTGTCGTCTCAAGGCTCTCCCTCCACCAGTTGTCTCTGCCTTAGTTGCTGCTTCTTCTGCTTCTGAAGACTTTGATACCTCAGCACACCAATATCCTACTCAAGAGCGTCATCCTCCAAACATGTCAAGATCCCAATTGGATTCGAGCTATGGAGGATGAGTTGTTTGCCTTGCAGAAGACTAATACTTGGGTGTTGGTTCATTTGCCTGCAATACAAAGCTCGCCTGGTTGCCAAGGGTTTCTCGCAGGAGTATGGTATTGATTATGAGGAGACCTTTGCCCCTATTGCCAAGATGACTATTGTATGTACCTTGATTTCTATTGCTACTATTCAACATTGGCCTCTCTATCAAATAGACGTTAAGAATACTTTTCTTAATGGTCATCTCCATGAGGAGGTCTACATGCGTCCACCCCCTGGCCTTCTCCACTCCTCTGGGCAAGTTTGTCGTCTTCGGTGTGCTCTGTATGGTATGAAGCAATCTTCCCGTGCTTGGTATAATCGCTTTCAGACTCTGTTACTGAGCTTGGGTTTCATTCTTCTACTTCCGACTCTACTTTGTTTCTAAGACATACCTCGGCTGGCTTTGTTACTCTCTTATTGTATGTGGATGATATAATCATCACTAACTCTGACTCTTCTGTTATCTCTGAGGTCAAGCAGCATCTCTCTACACCTTCGAAATGAAAGATTTGAGTCTATTGCGGTATTTTCTTGGTATTGATGTTACTTCTCCAAAGGGCTATTTTCTGTCTCAGGCTAAGTATGCTAATGAGGTCATTCACCGTGTTGGTCTTACTGATACTAAGGTTTATACTACACCTATTGAGCTTAACGTAAAGCTCAACTCTACTGATGGTGCCTCTCTGGATGATCTCACTTTATATCGCGAGCTTATGGGTTGTTTCGGTTATCTGACTGTCACTCGCCCTGATCTTGCTTATGCTATTCATGTGGTTAGTCAGTTCGCTTCTGCTCCTCGCTCTACCCATTGGACTGTTTTGGTTCACATTCTTTGCTATCTCAGAGGTACCATCTTTCAGGGCTTATCGTTGTCCTCTACTTCCTCTTTGAACTTGGTGGCCTATGCTGATTCTGATTGGGCTGATGATGTTATTAATCGCAAGTCTACATCTGGTTTTAGTGTATTGCTTGGTGATTCCTTAATCTCTTGGAAAAGCAAAAAACAATCAGTTATTGCTCGCTCTACTGCCGAAGTTGAATATCGTGCTATGGCTCTTGCCACTGCTGAGATTGTTTGGCTTCGTTGTCTCCTGTTTGATTTGGGTGTCCCTCAGCCTTTTCCAACCTCTCTCTATTGTGCCAACCGCAGTGCTATTCAGATTGCCCACAATACTATTTTCCATGAACGGACGAAACACATTGAGATTGATTCACTTTATCCGACAGCATCTGCAGTCTGGCTCTATCTCACTTCCTTTCGTCTCTTCGGTTTTGCAACTTGTGAACTTCTTTATCAAGACTCACACGACCACTCGGTTTCAGTTTCTTCTTAGCAAACTCTCAGTGTTTTTTGCTAAAACCTTGACTTTGAGCGGTGGTGTGATAATATATTGTGTATTGTGTATATTTTATATTTGGCATGATTGTGGTTGTACATATTATAGGCGTGATTGTGTATAGGCGTGTTTGTATTTTCTTTTCTTAGTTTAGGAGTTAGGGCTATATAATCTAGGGTCTTCTTGTAATCAAATACACAACTGAATACATAGATTATTCATTCAGAATTCTTACAACAGATACTTTATAACCACCAGTGCATCAGCTCCTCCACTACCATCACCGCCGCCACCACCCCCCATCCACTACCAACCCCTACCACCCCATCCAGTTTCCCTCTTCTTCGACCCACCATCCACCACCTCCTTCTCCCCCATCCCACCACACCACCCCTCTTGCTATACCCCACCATCCTACCTCCACCTTCCTCCGACCATCCTACCACCCCTTGCCCCCTTCTCCACCATCCACCTCTCTCATCTTCCTCCCCAACCCCTGGTTGTCACTCCCCCCAAGGGTCACACAACACCATGATGATGATCAAGATCAATCTCAAACAAAACAACATATCAAAAGGCGAACACAAATTGAAACGGGGACAAGGAATGACTAAGGTTCCTTAGCAAAGATGAGACAACGAATGATTAGGCGATCAGACGATTCCCAACAAAGATTAGAAAATTAGGCAACGATGAAGATCAAATAATTCTCAGTGAAGATCAATGTTTTCATGAAGATTTGCATACCTCTACGAAGACGACGGATGACTCATCAACTAGGGTTTTCAAGAAGATCTAGAATTGGGTCGGAAGGAGTGGCACTAGGGTGTACCAAAAAACAGTTAGAACTGGTCCAGTCCAAATCAGCAATTTGGTTCGATTTTTATTACTAATTTCAAAAATGGTGGAACCGTTTGAAAAGGCCCAATTTGCGGTTTGGTTCCTCTAATTATAGTTCTAAGCTGAACCCCCTTTAAAGTAGAACACCCAACCTTAAGGTTGGAATTCCAAACATATAACCAACTCAACTACACATTTGGTTTTAACATGTTACTATTATATCTTATATTCTATGCATAACTTACATTATATATATAACCCCAAACCCTTCTCCTTCAATCACACACCTTAATCTCCTCGCTCATATTTCTCTCTATCTCTGGAAGACTCAGACTTAACCTCTCGCTCTCTTCTCCATCTCACTTTTTTCTCTATCTGTGATCTCTCTCTGCCTCTTACTCTCTTCTCCATCTTTGATCTCTCTCCCTCTCCCTCTCTATCATTGCACTCTCTTTTCCATCACAAACCTTAATAACATTTTTCACATCCTCAAATCTGAAAAACTAACCTAAAATCTCCATATATAAAAACTCAAACTTCTTGGAGGAGGGTCTCAAAATGCCATCAGCTTATGGAGCAAAATTGTCGATCAACCACCATTGAAGCCATCAGAAGATTTGGGACTACTCAAATTCTATGTCTATCTCCCCCTTATTTACTCTATATATATTGTTTGTTTTGTTTTGTTTTGTATGTGTGCCTATGTTTTTGTGTTGTGTTTGTTTTGGTCTATATGAATGTTTGCCTATGTTTTTGTTTTGTGTTTGCTTTGTTCTTGGTCTCGGTATCCATATATATATATATATATATTAATTTTTCTCTGCTGAGTTTATCTTTTTTTCTATTTTGCGTTTTATGTGGTGATGGTGGTTGTTAGTAAATCAATTGGTCACAGCTTTTGCCCCATTCAAATTGATTTGAAGATCAACAACATGCTCTAATTTTGTGTCACAAACAACTTGTTTGATTGTTTTGATAGAAGACTGGTTGTTTTGGCATAAAACCATGGTTTTGAACCAAAACCTAACCGTTTGGTGCAGTTACACTAATACATGGTTTGGGTTGGTTCCCAAAATCCTGAAACCATATCCTACAGTTTGGTTCCTGTTTTAGCTCAAAACCTAACCATGTGCACCCCTAGGTGGCACTAAATAGGGACGGGGACGGGGATGGGTGTGGTCAAATGTGGTAAGGTGTATAGTGGGATTGATGATAAATGATTTTGACATGGTAGATGGTTGATAAGGTAAGTTTGTAATGTGGTGTGATCAAGCTCATCATTAGAATTTACATCGTGTTGAAAGAGTAAAAGAGATAGTGCCGCGCGTGCTTCCAAAAAAATAAAAAAAATCCATTAGATAAGATAACAGATATGGATGGATGACTTAACTTCAAATAACTTTTAAAATGTAGGGTTTAACATGAAAAAATTAATGGACCACAAACGGATGGACCCCAAGCAATCCTGTAACACCACTTTTCCAACTACTTGAGTAACTCTCTATCCAAAAGTCTAGTCTGTAGAATGGTTTTTCCTATGCTGAACAAGAAAAGTGTATTACTTTCTAAATTACTGTAATTTCCTTAATATCTAGGCAGCTTTCTCAATTCCTTATTTCAAACTAGAATAATTTAGCATTGCTCTTCAGTTTCCTGGAATATTACTGTCAAGTCAAAGCCAAATGACATGGATCGTATCAGATCCTTCAAAGGCAGATTTGCTAGTACGCACACTATATTCTCATGGGACACGAGAAAAAAGTTCATCAGCACTTTTGACCCCTAGAGACACTCCCTCCCACACACCACGTCAATATTTATTAAAAAATAAAGTAATGGTCGTTAGATAAAATCAAAGACACCATAAATATAACACACTCTACTCAACAAAACCCAGTTTTTATATTGCTCCAAAAAATATAGAACAAATGCAGAACAGAGGTGAATAATGTACCTTTTCTCACTGAATACTTATTATGAATTTGATTAACTACAGCCAAGCTAAACTGTGCATATCTAATCCACCCATACGGTAAATTTGAAGAATCTGCAACATCTAGATACATAGACAAATGGTCGACATTGTTTCCCTTCGGAAAAATCAGAATCCGCCTGCCCAAAGTAAAACAAAGAGATTGAATCAGCACCAGGTACAAAGCAACGACAATATAACCTATTAGTGAGGTGATAAGAATTACCATTTATAACCACCAACCACAAAAAAATCAGAGTATAGCTTCCTTGTATTCAACCCAGAAAAGTTCTCGATTTTCCATGTGAACCTTGATGCCTGAGGATCCTCCACTTGCTGATTCTCAGTAGTACTACCCGTCTCTGCTTGTGCTACAACTAATGATTGTTCAAATCCATAAATAAACAGATAAATAAATCAATATTCCAAAATACGTCTTATTAGCTAGAAATTAAAGTGTATCCTAAAAGGTGTTTTCAGAAAACCTTCCCAAAAACCATTTTTCAAAACATTTTAGAGTAATTCTATTTACACGCCACAAAAACTTAGTGCACACCATTTATATCGTTCAAATATAAACTTTCGAACAAAAGTCAAATGTTCATATATAAACTTATGAACAAACAAGCAATTGTTTGGACACAAACAGTTGAATGGAATATATATTTGAACAATTTATTTTTGTTCATCAGTTTATGTGCGAACATTTGCCTTTCGTTTGAAAGTTTGTATCCTAACAAAATAAATGATGTGAACTGTGGTTTCTTGTGGTATGCAAATAGAATTTCCCAACATTTTATCAAAGTTTTCCGTATCCGTCCCTGTTCCGAAAACATACAAAATGCACATATCATTTTCTCCACATTCAGAGAAACCAAGGTACAAATTATACAAATTTTACCCATTCAATCAAAATAAATTAACAAAACATTTCACATAAGATATATGCTGATGAATTTGTGTACCTTCAAGGGGTTGGGGTCCCTCGACCAAATCGGAATGCGGGACAAGCATATTCTCGTCCTCTTGCTGCAAAACGCACCACAGTCAGTTCCGGATCCAAAGTGCAACCAATCCCTAGCGATCATAATATAACCCCAGAATCCAAACAGAATTGCAAAAAAGCAGAAGTGAATTCTAAACCCTAACAACGCATTTTCAAAGCCCTATACGATCAAAAACTCAAAAAAAAAGAAACATCAGATAGAACCAGAAATGCTGGTTGAATCGACACAGTTCGAAAGCCACTGAAATACACATATCCACATGTACACACCTAAACATTCATACACATACATGTATATGTAGAGACAGAGAAACGTACATCAATTGGGGGAGGAGTGACGAGAGTCATGGATGTAGAGATGAGGGTTTGTTTGCTTCGGCGGTGAATATGAGACGAAGAGGAAGAGGAAGAGAATTAGAATTAGAGCGAGGCTGCGAAGTGCGATGGAGATCACCAGGAGGGCTACAGTACAGAAAGGAAAAGGTAAATTACAAATAGACTTTTCTTAATGATTTTTTATTTAACATAAATTAATTAAAAATAATAATAATTCTAATAATAAAATTATCTTAATAATTTAAGTAAAATAAATTTTTAATATCATTAAAAATTACTAATTGACTTAATAATTTATTTAAAACAGTAATTTGTTATGAAATTATAAACTTAAAAGGATAAGATGTAATTTTTAAAATCATATAAGGCAATTTATATTTTAACAAATGTCATAAAGTGTATTTATAATTTACTCAAAAAGAAATGTAATTTTTAAAATCATATAAGGCAATTTATATTTTAACAAATGTCATAAAGTGTATTTATAATTTACTCAAAAAGAAAGGTTTACTCCCTCTTTTTTAGAAAATCTAACTTTCTTGACTAGTATAATTATTACACTTAAAAAATATTAATTTTTAAAAATTATTCTTTGACTTTTTTTTGAAACATTAATGGTCATAATTAATGAATTTTAATGTATGACAAAATAGAAAATTCATATCATTTTAATCCTTAATTTTTTAAATGAACTAATATTTTGAGACAATGAAAAATGAAATAAAGGATTAATATTTTTGGATGAAAGGAGTATTATACACGGGGAATTTTCAAGATTTTGGAAAATATGGTTTTGTCATTTTTTTACTATCAATAGACTAATGAATGGGTTGACATGTATTTATGATTGTGAGCCCCATTGTTTTGTATGTAAAAATAGGATTATAATGCTAGAGATATCAAAATTTTACTAATTTTTTTTACTAAAGACTCGCATAGGTGTGGGTTCCACACCTATATGATTGTTTGGTACAAATATTGGTTATTTTTTGTATTCCTAACGTTACTGTTATATATAGCATTGCTCAAATTTAAATGTTCATATATAAATTTATGAATAAAAAATAATTGTTCAAAAGTTTATATTCGAAGCATATAAGTAGTGTACTGATATTTTTGTGGTGTGCAAATAGAATTTCTCTCTCGACATCATTTTTTTGAATGTTTGTGATTACTCTTGTAACTTCCAAATAACAAAATGTACAATCTTGACTACTGTCATTTTCATCACGCCTAGCTCTCCACTATTGCAACCTTTAGATTGAGGGAGCGTGAGGAGGGGGCAAAAGAAACTGGGTTTTCAAATTTGAAGAATAAGGAAGTAAGCAGGAGGCGATGGACGTGGGAGGCAATCAAAAGGATGACACAAATAAGGAAGAAAGCAAGAGAGAGGATATAGAAAGAAGGCGGGTTTGCAAAAGAGGCTAAAGAAAGAGTGGTGGAAGCGAAGTGATTGAGGAAGAGGAGACATGGAAAGAGTGGCATAAGAGAGGCGACTAGCAGACTGAATCAAAGGTTAAAAGGTTCATCTCAAGAATAAAGTGGTTTGAACTCGGCAAAATTTAAAATTATATATGTGGATTAAGTAATGATGTGAACTAGGAAGTGTAACGAGCAAATGGAAGCTCAAATCCACAAATAGAGCTTCTATTTGCACACTAAACTTTACGAGTTCATACTATTTTTTTGTTCAAATATCAACTAACAAAACCTATTTTAGTATTTGATATCCGAGCAATTGATTTTGTTTGGTAGTTGATAATTGAGCAATTGATTATTGGTTAATACTTGATATCTGAACTAACATAAATGACGTAAACTGAGAAAAACGTGGTGCGAAAAATGGGACGGATAGAAATGTTTATCAAATGTAAATTTGTATTTACACCTACTTTCTTAATTTCAATTTTTTTTGTTTTATCATTTTCCACCTTACATAATTCAAAACCCATATGCATCCCCAGCTTTTTATTTTCTCTTTTTAGACCCCCAAACATTTCAAACCCTTACTAACTCACCCATCCGAACTACCACCCTCTTAATCCCCGACGACACCCACAACTATAGAGAAATAGAAACCTAGGATTTCAAGGATTTACAAATGAAGATTAGGGTTTTCAAATTTAGAATTTAAATGAGAAGAAGCAGAAGAGGTGGATGAGGTGGTAGTGGGACAAAGAGAAGAAAGGGGTTAAGGGTAGCGGCAGAAAGGGTGATAGGGAAGAGAGGAGCGGCAATGGTGGCGGTCCGGTGGAGAATGAGTGGTGTATAGAAAAATTAAGATTTTGAATTTGTAGAGTTTGAATTAATAATTTTAGATAGAAATAAAAAATATAATAAATTATTAAGTTAATTACCTAAAAGTCCTATTTACAAATGTTATGGTAGGTCAAGTCCTATTTAAAAAATTTTGAACCAATAAGTCCTATTTAGTAAAACCGATAATATTATCAATTTTTCTCAATTTTTAAAATTAAGAACATTATCAATTTTGCATAATAATATTCAAGATAATTGTTTCGCTAACTAATAAAACAAAACAAAGTATGAGATTAAATGTTTTTTCCTTTATACTTATTAGTTTGAATCAACTATCCAATAAAATCGAGAACATTATCAATTTTTTTTTCATTTTAAAACCGAGAACATTATCAGTTTTTTCATTTTAATTTTTTTTTTTCATTTTTGCATATAAATGTTCCACCATCATGCTCCTTTTTGCACAAAAAAAATTCAATTTTTTCAAAAAAAAAATATATGGTTTTTTTTGCACATATTTTTTTTTATAGTTTTTTCAATTTGAAAGTTGATGTTTTAAAATTTTGAAAATCAAAATAAACGTCAAATCATCATATTCCTTTATGATTATAAAGGATGAACAATCATTGTTTGAAGGACAATTCTAACTATTAAAAATTTAATAGAACTTGAAGGTTCAAAAAATCTTAATTATGACTTAATGGAGTATAAGTTTATAAATTAGGATTTATGTGTAAATGCCCCTAAATTATTTTTATAGTGTAAATAGAAGCATCCATTGACAAACAAGAAACGAAAATATTTTGAATTTTGTGCCCAACAATTGAAAAAAGAAAAAAAAAAAAGAAAAAAAAAAAAGAAAGAAGATGTTCTCGCTTCAATTTTCTAAATCAACACATCTCTCACCAAATAGTGGGTCTAAATAAGGGTTATATATAGGTTTCGTTTGGGAAGTTGCTATTTTAGTAGGTTATTTTAGTTTTTGGCTATTTTAATAGACTAAAATTTTTGTGTTTGGAAAAATGATTGGATTTTTTTATGGTTGGATGTGATGTTTGTGAGAGAAAAAGCGAAAATATTTTGAATTTTGAGCCCAACAATTAAAAAAAAAAAAAAAAAAAAGAAAAAAAAAAAAGAAAGAAGATGTTCTCGCTTCAATTTTCTAAATCAACACATCTCTCACCAAATAGTGGGTCTAAATAAGGGTCATATATAGGTTTCGTTTGGGAAGTTGCTATTTTAGTAGGTTATTTTAGTTTTTGGCTATTTTAATAGACTAAAATTTTTGTGTTTGAAAAAATGATTGGATTTTTTTATGGTTGGATGTGATGTTTGTGAGATAAAAAGTGAAATGATTATGGATTTGATGTGATATTTTGTCTTATTAGCTATTTTAGCCTATTTTGTCTTTTTGTGAATTTTAGCCTAAATTATGTTATTTTTTTTCTTCCCAAACACCCCATAGAAATGTAAGTTTATGGATGAGATAATAATTCCCAATTTTCAATTGACTTGAAATTTCACATACATGATGGGCACAAAAATTTATCAAATCCAATGCTTAGGCCAAGTTTGGCATAATTGGAAAAAGATAAAAAGTCAAAAAGTCACTATCCTATTTAAGTCACATCATCTTATTTAAGTCACATCACATCTCTAACACATCACTTCAAACCCAACCCAAACTCAACCTATATTTCATAAAAAGTCAAAAAGTGCACTTATTTAGTCTTCCCAAACTAGGCCTTAGTTTTATGAAATATTATTTTGTCAGAATTTTGTATTAAAAAAAAGAATTATAAATGGGTTTTAGACATTTATAAGTTGATTCTGGTGCTATATTATTTGTTTTATTATGTAAGGCATACAAATCGCGTGAAATTTCATCATAAAATTTTAATTTTCTAAAAATTACAACAATATTACATGTTTCTTACATATTTTAGGAGAAATAAAAAAAAATAAAAAAACTATTACAGTTGTAACAAAATAGATATAGAGTTTTTAAGTTTGTCAAGTTAAACTCTAATATTTTGATTTGTTTTTAATCTATTTGTTCCCTTTTTGGCAAAAATTGTCACGTGGCAATTCTTCTAATTTTTAATGCCATGTGGCAATGGAAGATGGGGGAGCCAAAGGGTTTATGGGACCCACCACCAAGGTTAATGAAGTAGTGGTTGAAATTGATTTATTTTAATTAATTAAATTAGTCAAGTCATTGAGTTAATTAATTAATTTCAATTTAGTTTGATTTGATAAGGTGAACCTTACTCGTTCTTAATAATTAGAAACTTGTTGAGCATTATCTCCTATTTTGATGTCTTATCTCCTAGTTTGTTGCTAAATGACTGTTGTGGATGAAGATTATATAACATTTGAAGATTTGGCAAAATCAACAACAAGGCTATAATATAAGAACTGAATTCCCCAAATCATGCAAGATTGGGATTGAGAGTTTATATCAATAAGCACACACGGCAAATAAAAAGGCTTTGAGGATCAATCCAAATAAGCATTTTTCATAAATCATACAAAATAAATTCAAGTTTGATCCTTAGGGGACACGTGGCAGCTTTGTGGAGCTCAATGGACCAAGTCAAAGTAATAAGGATAGGCCTTAGCCATTGAAGATCAAAACCATTCCCACTCTTGGGGAGTCAAGATTAGCATCAAAGACAAATGTCACTAGGAAGGGCTACCACATTTCTAGCAGTTGAGCAGAAAATAGGGACTTCCTCAACACTATATAAAGGACTCCAAGTGCAACATTTGAAGAGGTCCCCAACCAAATATCAACCAAAAGTCTCTCAATACATGTGTTTTAATTCATCTTAGCTTCATAGCTTATTTATTTTAGCTTCATAGTTTAATTATCTTAACTT